GGTACCTGACTATATCTACTTATCTACAGCCTTATAAAAGTGTAATTTTTTTTGGGTTCCTATACAGCTTTGCAGTAAGTATTAAAATAGATTTTCAGTACAGCCTCATCTCTAAGGACAAACACATTTTTCTTTGTAAACTCGATGTTATTTGGGATTGACCCAGAGGACATGTTTGGAATATTAGTGGATTGTCTAAAAAATAAACAAGCCGCTAAAACAGCAAAAAATGTAATAAATTGAAATTTCAATGTTTTAACTGAAAAATTAGTACACACTATATAATTCTGCGAACAAATTATTATTACAAAAGGTGCCGGCTGGTTTGGGAAACCAAATATTTTAGAACACAACAGAACTATGGTGAAAGTAATGGATATTAGGCAATTAATACCTACTCCTTTTTGAATCAATATTAAACACGTTGCCTGCTGATTTTGCTCGATGTTTTGGTACATTGGGTCTTGAGTAAGTGTTAATAAATGTCATAAATTTAAATGAATAATTTTTCGAATAAATTATTGCGCTATGTGGCTCAGGTTTGCGCCAATTAAGTCTGTTATAGATCTGAATCCTACAAATTTTACATAAAAATTGGTTTCCTACAGTCCGATGCTTTTCAACATGGCTTAAATTCATCAGAGGCATAACAGTAATATAATTTTCCATAATTATTGCATTAAGAAATCCAGGGTGTCAAAGGTCAATTTTGTTTATTATTGCTGTTTAAATTTTGCATGATTTATTTGAACCTTGCCAAACACAATTTGAGATTTCTTTTGTGCTATACTGTGATAAGGGGTTTGGATCAAATAATATGACTGTTCTTGAACGGTTTGCGACGCGGTTGGGTCAAAGCTAATAATAACTCTCTGAATTGGCCTTGAGGGATTTTAAAATAATCTAGTTTTATTTATTTCTTATCTTGAATCGCAAAACCTCGATTCACTCAGGACGTTTGCGATATTTCAAGATTCATTCAAAAATTCTACAGAGTTTTGAAAAACTAAACTTCAAGTTGAAGAACTTGATGAAACTGCATGGCAGTGCGAGAAACCATAGCACCCTCTCTAGACTCTGGAATATTTTTTATTTCAGCTAGGTCAACATCTTGAAAAACTAGTAAAAAACAAAACAATTAATGTTTTAGTTTTATTAATTACTATGATGTTTTATTGTTCATTCAAATTATCAGGCTGATGCCTTAATATAACATTTCAAACACCTTCTGCCTTTAATTGAAAAACACCTTGTAGATATATAAAAAATTCATTTTATTTCAAAACAATTAATTACAATGTACAAATAATAATTAATAAGTCATTACAATAATCAGAATGAGGGTCTAAGGAGTATTATCAAGGGTATTAACTAATCTCACACTCAAAAATAGGTATACTTATATACTCACAAATTGTCTGATTACCTAGGTACATTATAAAAATATAATGAAGTTTTACGATCTATTGGGAAATTACACATTTAAAAAACTATGTTTTGTGATTTTTGCCCATCATGTCTGTGTTTTGTGTAAAGGATTATTACCATTTATCTATATATTCACATACAAAGAAATAAGTACTTAATTTATCATGATACACCTATAAAATATAATAATATCATGAACCACCTATCCACCTGATAGAAATAGCCTCGGAAATAGCAATCAAAGAAATTGATAAATGACACAATCTGGCCGGATTGAAGACAAATAAAACAATGGAATTTTATCATTAAAACTTAAGTTTAAAGATTTATGTGTAAATCTTCATCAGGGCTGGAAAGATAACAGTGTAGTACTTGGGAAATAATAAATTCAAAATTCTTTCAAAGCGAATGTTAAACCTCCATTCTAAACATCGAACTTGAAAATATTTAAAGATTTGTTCACATAATGGTAACTTATAATAAAGAAATAACTTTATTAAAGTCCTTCATCAATAATTTAAAAACGAACAAACTTATTTGGAATAGTTGAAAAAAAAATTAGACAAAAACTGAATTGAAAGGAATAAAATTGGTTGAAAAAAGGTAGCCTTACCAAGTGAGAAGTTATTGTCATAATACATATTACTAGGGCATATTGTAATGTGTGTATCATGGGAACGGAACAATTTCTTACTAGGTAAGGCACCTTTTTAAACCTTGTATTTCAGATTAGGTATGTACCTACGTGATATTTTTATTATTTAAAAAAATATATATTCAGATTGGATTTATAGAATGGATTCCGATTTTTAATAATTTTTTTTTTCTTCAAATTTGCGAATTTTTGAATCCATTTCCAATTTCTTGGCAGGTATACTATTATCTTTTCATCCTGATGAAGATTTACAGATCGAAATGTGAACTAGTGGGAAAATTCCATTGTGTTTGTTGTTGTTAATCTGACATTTATTGTCGTTTATTGAAATTTAAAGCGAAAGTAAAGTCAACAGTTAGAAATTAATGCCTATGCCGGTTTAAATATTTTATGACGTAAAATTGAATGCCGTTAAAAATTTATGAGAAGTTTACGAGAAATTGTCAAATCATTTTTCTACTTTTTAGAATAATGCTTAGGCCTCGGCTTAGGCGTGGTAATAGAAAGGGCACATTAGAAAAATAAAATTTAGTCATTGTTAAATATACAAGATTTTCGAGTGTGAGTCATCCCATAATGTGACCCAATTTTGCTAATTAAACTTTTGGTGAAGTTTAATGTCACAGGGAAAATGAACATTATAAAATAGAATACATAATAACAACTTAATGACTATGACTATGAGAGCTATTTTGGAGTTTTTACAAATTTTTTTTCAGTACCTGTAAATAAATTATACAAGCTGTAGCTTAGTTTTGGTTCAGATAGGAACCAGCACTTATTGATTTGAACAGTTCTAGAATTGGTTTTGATTTGAACCAAAACAATGCTGGTGCTATGGGTACAATGTTTTTAAATTTATGGCTAAAAATGCCCAGTTTTGGTCTTTTGAACTTAGTAAAAATTTATATATTTAGGGATATCCTGAACTGCTTAGTTTTTGAAATTTAGCGAGGGTGGGAAAATTTCGAGGAAAATTTAGTTGTTTGAATTTTTCTGTCCATTCCAGAGGGACAAGTTCAAATTTAACATAGTACAGGGATGGCCAATAGTCTAGAATAAAATTCATAGTTTTTCAGCAAGTAATTTTTGCAAAGAATGCTGATAAACGTTAATTGATTTTGACTTTTTCACATTTTCAGTTAAAGGAAAATTATGGTACTTTGACATTTGAAAAATTCCGAACATTTTCCGAGATATCTGGAAAAAAACGGAATTTTGCAAAATCGATTTTTTTTTCCTGAGCTTATTTGAGAAGATATTTCAAAATAAATGGGTACATTCAGGCGGTCCCAGCGGCTAAGCTCAGCCACTCAGCAGGGACTTTATTCTCGAAACCAAGGAACAGCGTTCTCATAAGAACGATTGCTCTGTCATTGTCAGTGTTATGCCGGACCCCTGTTTCGAGAATAAAGTTCCTGCTGAGTGGCTGAACTAAGCCGCTGGCACCGCCTGAATGTACCCAATGTCACTTCATCGTTATTCCTACTCTACAGATGACATTATCAATTTTGGAATTTGACGTTTCCTCTTTGAGCCACCATCATTCAACTGAAAAATGTGAGAAAGTCAAAATCAATTAACGTGTCTCAGCGTTCTTTGCAAAAATTACTTGCTGAAAAACTAAAAATTTTATTCCAGACTGTATATGTACTTACCTAGTTCCAATACAAGTTATAAGTACCTAATTGATTTGTATGAATTTCATGTGGGTTTTATAATAAGCTACAGGGTGTTATCTTTTTTTGGGTCACAATCTTTGATCTTTCAATACAAACTCTTATTTCTCTTTGATTTTTTTTTTTTTTTCATGTATGTACTTAATTTTATATTTAATTTCTCCTAATGGCAAAAGAATAGATTGATATTGATGATGGGGTGGTAAAATAAATAACGCCTTGTAGGTTATTTTAAAATCCAAGAGAAAATCCATCAAGCAATATTAACTCAAACCCAAGCATAAACCTTCTAATATTGGAAGTATCAAATGTCTCAAATTTAGATGCATTACATCAATTATCCATTGTCGTAACAACAGCAGAAGAAAAATAAATAGTTTGTGGCACCCTTAATTTAAAATACTAAGCAATTTAGAATTGGTTTTTATTGAAAATCAGGAAATCACCTTCTGCATTTTTAGCGATTAATAATTGTAAAACACCCTGTATATAAGAAAATTTATATTGCCGCTGTGAGCCTCAAGTATCATTAGAGCATTGGTTGCAAACAAAATAATATTGTAGATACCAGTTATTAAGTTTTTCAAACTAGATAAACTAATACAAAAATGTATAAAGCTTAAATTTGAACATGATTCTCAAGGCACACTTTTGATTGGTAAATTTGAAATCACTGTTCATGGGGCGGCCCCAGAAAATTGTATGGTGGAATTTCTGATGGAAGTGGAGAAAACTTTTTATGGAATCATTTAGTGAGAACCCAGAATACAGAAGATTTTAGGCATACACTTTTTCACAGAAATAAACAATAATTGAGATAAGGTATTACAAGTGTGTGTTGTGGTTCTGACTGAAAATAATAGATAACAATTGTATAGGAAACAATAAATCTTACTAGGTATAATATTTACAAGAAATAAATATATTCTTGTCAATATTTATACTAGTTATTTTACACAGATTCAAAAAGACACAAATAACTTAACATGATTTCTGTAATAAAAGCATGTTATTGGCTTACAGGCTTGATGCAAAAAATATTATCCTATACACTCAGCTAAGTTATTTTTAATTCTGCAAAAAAAGTAATTTGTCTCACTAACTACAATGGAGAACATAATTATTTTTGTCACATGAAACCATTTAAATTACTATTAAAAAAGTTGCTTCCTACTTAATTTAGTACATAATGAATACTTACAGGTCTGACATAAATGAAACAATATTTTTCCACTTACTTTTTTTTATTATAATACGTATATATCACAAATCCTTTTTGGCTCTCAGAACACACATTCTATTGGCATCAGTTTATGTTTACTTACAAAACAAATATTTTTACAAGCACTCTGTCCCATGCACACATCACTCTTTGATTAGAATATCAATCTCAATTTAATTAGGTAATTATCGTACAACACAAATAATCTTGACAAAATTATGTTCTATTATGTACAAGATGAGCTCACTGATTTTAATAAACCATATATTGAAAATATCCTATAAAGCATGTTGTAAGTTGCTAGCGGGTAGTCATAATTCGGGGCTCAGTGCATTTAATGTTAGGCCAATACTAGTACCAATCCACGCATCCTAAGTTGCAGTTGATTTATTTTGGTTTGAGGCACTATATTTTACTGTAGATTACACAGATATGATTTGATTTCAAAAACTGGTAAATAAATAGCATAATATGGGTATTTTATGCATCTTTTACTAAGTCATTGGGTTTGATCAATTGTATAAAAATATATTGTAGATATTGAGTAGATCTAAATTATTAATAAAAAAAGAGAAATGAGCGTATTGTAAAAAGATTCATAATTTAGTTAGCGTTGCATGATTAATAATAAGGAGTGTTCTGTAACACAATTATGATTTATTTGTTCCCATCAAAATATAAAATAATGAGGCCGCTTTAAATGACTGTACAGCAGCAATAACTTTTTTTCTCTTTCTCTGGACTAAAGTTCATTTCTCTGACTATTTCTGCAAACACTTCATTGACATTGGTACGGTTTTTTGCACTGGCTTCAATGAAGGGACAGCCCCATTGTTGTGAAAGAGACTTTCCCTCTTCAAAGTCCACTTCCCTTTGATGTTCAAGATCAACTTTGTTGGCAACTAGAAGGATGGGTACCCTTTCAGTTCCCTTTACTCTGGTAATGAGCTCCTTCATAGGACGGATATCCTGAAAGGTTTGGTGGTTGGTCAAACTATAAACTACCACAAAGCCTTGTCCATTCTTAATATATAGATCCCGCATACTGGCGAATTGTTCTGTTCCCGCAGTATCCAGGATTTCGAGTACACAAGGTGAATTATCGACCTCAATTTCTTTACGATAAAAGTCCTCGATTGTAGGATCATATTTTTCCATAAAACATCCGGACACAAACTGTACAGTCAAAGCACTTTTCCCAACCCCACCCGATCCGAGGACGACTACTTTGAACTCACGCATTGTTCTAACTTCTTTCAGTAGCTAATAGTGTTTACAGTGATTGCACAAAAATAACGAGTTAACTAAGTTTAACACAATTGAACAGTCTATTATCACATTTCTGTAGTCCATTGGAATATACTAAGTACACATATTCGCCATCTTAGAGTGAAACAGCCAACAGAGGAACAGCTCATCCTTTCGTAGCACTGTTTTTCTATACGCGAGTAACGACAGGGGATTGCGGAGCGCAGGCAGCGGTGGGCCACGAGGACGAGGACCCAAGCCCAAGATGACTGGTGGTGGAGGGTGAAAGGGGACACCGAACACTGAACACTGAACGAACAAAACGCAGAGACAGGGACCTACGTTTAGGCAGCACTGGCAGCAGCCTGCGCAGCTGGCTTCTCTTTGTCGATCTAGTTCTACGTCACGTCATGGCATGGGGCATGAGGTCGACGACGTCCTTGGTAGCGTTTGCTGTTCAGTGTTGCCACATTTAAACAGCTTAATGTGAATCTGCCACAAGCTGTTCTCTTTTGGTACAGAACTTTCAACTTGTTCTGATAAGTTTTGAAACCGGACATTCTCGGACTTGCGTCAAAGTATTAACCTCAAATTTAACTTGGTTAAGGGTGGGTATTATAAAACTGCTTTGACAGTTAACTTGAAGTTAACTTTTTGAATTACATAATGTAATTCTAGAAGTTAACTTTAAGTTAACTCTGAAAGTAGTTTTATAATACCCGCCCTAATACGTTTTGATTGTCTAAGGGCGGGTATTATAAAACTGCTTTGACAGTTAACTTGAAGTTAACTTTTTGAATTACATGTAATTCAAAAAGTTAACTTCCAGTTAACTGTCAAAGCAGTTTTATACCCGCCCTTAAACGTAACTAATTGTTTCAAAACTAGACACGTGCTTAGGTTTGTTTGTTTGTGTCGCACTAACTTGAACTGAGCAGTGAGCGCAAAATATTTCAGGTTTGTGACATCACCAATTCAACTAAGGCTCGTCAGTTCGTTGCCATTAACACAAACGAATGCCCCAAAGCATGTAGTGCTGCTTGGAACAACACAAACAAATAAACCTTGTCTGTTGGTTATTTTTCTTCCGTTCTGAATTTGGAACTGTCCGAACGGTTTGAATCACGACCTTACGAAAAATGAGGCCATTCTGTGTCTCACAAACTACAAAAAAAAACTGAAATGTTTTTTTCTGCAGATAAAAAATGTCCATATGGACCACTTCACTTGCATCATTTTTGTAATGAACCGATTGTTCAAATCTTTCGCTTACGATTGAAATACATTTCGCGACAGTCTAAAATGCTCCATAGACTTCTTGTCAATCTATACTCAAATCTCAAACGGTCTAATAAAGATACTTCGACAAAAGGTCTGGTCTCACAAATCTCACAGCAATCACAAACCAAACTAGTCGGAGCGAATTTCATTGGTTGAAAATAGTCAGAAAACTCTTTGTTGGCGATTTGCACCAATCAAAAACGCTCTGACTGGTTTGCATTTCTGTGAGAACATTGGCATTTGTCTTTTTGGATGTTAGCTTGGAAAAGTGCGAAAGCGGTTACGGAATGCGGCTCAAGTTAGACACAAAATCTAACTGCGTTCATTTTCGTGGCGGGTTTGGTATTCGCGTACCACAGTGTTCGGAACATAAAAGGAAAAAGGATGAGCGCATAGGAGAAAGCTGCTTACGATCAAGCAGTTTTCTTACCTAAGTTAAAGTTAGTTTCTTAGCTGAGCTAAGCTGGTTGATCGTACGCGCAATTCATATCTCGTTATTTTCTATATGTGATCTGTTCCATCGACTGGTATATTTACCGTGCGTTCGTTATTTTGGTCCGAGTTCTCCGAGCTTGACTTTACCGTTCGTTTATTTGAAAAGTGTACTCGGTGCAGCCTCATTCGCGTTCGTTTATTAAAATTTCCGGCACTTTTATACTGCGTTCAACTGCTCTGTTCACTCGATAGTCACGTGATTACGGCTCCGCTCAGCACGCTCTGCTCTTTGAGCAAAATACCGCACGCAAGGTTAAACTTATTATTTCCTCGTCGTTAAATTTAAAACTGACTTTGAAAGTTTCAGATTCCATTTTGTGCAATGGCAATAATGAATAATTAATTACATTGAGGGCGGGTATTATAAAACTACTTTGAGAGTTAACTTGAAGTTAACTTCTGAAAATACATGTAATTCAAAAAGTTAACTTCAAGTTAACTGTCAAAGCAGTTTTATAATACCCACCCTAAACTAAACACCTTTTCAAAGTTCCTGTTCCAACCACCAACTTTCAACAAAACAAAAATAAAGAAATATAACCTCAATTTAGAAATTATTAAACGTCAAAAATTCAAAAAATGCGTACTTCGCGCCAACTTAGGTCAGCTTATTAAGCCGTTTTCTCGCGATGGAACTGGTTGAACCCGGTTCAATTCGTTTCGAAACTGTACATTCTCGCGTTGAACCAGTGACGTCACATTGAACCTGGTTCAAAAAAGTTCGAACCGGACTCATGGCATGTTCCAAAAATAGACGCATGCGCTGTCGGTTTTGTTTGTTGTTGTTCGGTTGGATTTCTTCTTTTGTTTGAGAGTTTGAGGTTATAGTTGGTTGTTACCGTTGTCGGTTTAGTTTGAAATCTAACACTACTCAAATAATAAATGGTATTTATTAGTAATTAATAATTTCATCTAATACAACATATATGCACTTGTGGACTGCTGACAAAGCCACATTAAATTTATGAGAAACCGACAAAAGAGTTTCTCCTTTTCCAAGCCACCACAAAGTCATCATGAGTTTTTTTCTGGGGATATTGGCATTTCTCCTCCTACATATGGAATACTTAATCCCTGGTGAATTTGTTGCAATAAGCTATTAAAGGCAGCTCTGTGCACTCGGAAAAGCTGAATGAAATCGTACTCCAAGTACTCAGGGAGCCAATTTTGGCAATATGCATACGGTCGTATATGATGCTCGAAGGGGTCCAGGGATGCATAATTCAATAAATAAGCATCTTCTCTATTTATCCATTGCAGTAGAAATTGTTGTGCCAACGATGGTCTATTAATTAAAATTGTTAAAATGTCCATGATTCTTACTATGATAAGGGAACTAGTTCCTTTACTTTGGACAAAATCAAAAATAATATATTATTCAAAAAGAGATCACAGTCACTGAATACTCTACCCGTCCCGCCAAACGGAAAAAAAGTAGGGTTAGGCCATCATTCCTTTCCTTCGTTGACGTAAGGTTGTGGTTCAAATCTCTCATTTTCTCGCGTTGACACGTAATGACGTCATCTAGAAATTGATTTAAACCGCGGTTCGAACCGTGTTCGAACCATTCGCCCCGCGAGAAAACGACTTTAAGTTATCTCAGTTAAAATTCGGGTGTCTTAGCAGGGGTAAGGGGGAAGGGCAGATTCTAACTTAGTTGTGACAAATCGTACGCGCAACTTAGTTAGATTTTTTAAGTTAGGTAAGAAAAGTGCTTGATCGTAAGCAATGAAGGATAGTTCTGCGATTTTTTTTTTTTGATGAATATGTCAAGTTGTTGCCTCTGGAATGTTCTATAACAACTGTGAAAAACGATGATGCATCGGAATCAGTGTTCGGATCGGAAGTGTAGCGTACAACCGGGACCAATGCGATTTTCGATACAGCCGATCTGGTTGGATCGGATCGTATTTCAGATGTGAACGTAGTCAAACAAATAAATGATTTTTCATTTTTTCCAAATTGCATTGGTCAAAAAAATAAAAAACATCCATTTGATAAAATTACAATACGCGAACCGAACCGGAATGTGTTTCTCCACATGTTTCTTTCAATACCAACATTCCTTGCGTTCGGTATTTTGCTCAAAGAACAGAGCGAACAGAGCGCGCTAAAGAAGAGTAGTAATCACCTGACCAGCGAGCGCACAACGCAGTTAAACGCTGTATCATAGCCCATTTAAATTAATAATAAACGAACGCGAATGAGCCTGCACCGAGCACACTTTTTTTAATAAACGAACGGTAAATTCAAGCTCGGAGAACTCGGATCATAATACCGATCGCACGGATTGTTTGTTTTTTGTGTTGTTCGGAGCAGCACTTCCTGCTTTGAGGCGTTCTTTGTGTAAATGGCAATGAACTGACGACCGTTCGTTTGTGAAGTGCAGTTTGTACCAAACTGTTCAGTTCATGTTCAACCTGCACTTGCCTTGAAGGAGGAGTAAGATAAGGCAGCCTAGAATTAAATATCAAAAACGCCACATTTCACGGTTCCCTGCTCCCTCCATCAGCTTTCCTTGCGTTCGGTATTTTGCTCAAAGAGCAGAGCGTGCCGAGCGGAGCCATAATCACGTGACCAGTGAGCGAACAGAGCAGTTGAACGCTGTATAAAAGTGCCAGAAATTTTAATAAACGAACGCGAATGAGGCTGCACCGAGTACACTTTTTAAATAAACGAACGGTAAAGTCAAGCTCGGAGAACTCGGACCAAAATAACGAACGCACGGTTTATAAAAGGCTGGCAGCCTGCCAAGGATCATACACACCTACAGGATTGCTTATCTGCCTCGTTTTTGGTAATCGCCGCCATATTGGTGTGTCACCATTTCCGACGTCATAACTAAGTCGTCACTGTTTAAACAGCCTAAGTCAAGGCAAAAAAAATCCATAATTGCCACAGAAATCCAGAAATCCACAAAATAGTAAATAATCGGAATATAAATAATAATTACCTCACAAAATAAAAAACTCCGTTCGTTTGTGTCAGAGTATTTATTGAGTTAACTTAAAAGTTAACTTTAGGAGTGTGTTCACAGACGGCAATGCTAATGCCAAAACCTACTTTTCCCCTTCTACTGGCGATGCCAAATCTGGTGTGAATTTGCTGGAACGCCAAATACCGTTTCTCAATTAGGCAATCCAAACCACGTGACATTCGAGATGGTGTGGCGACCACACATGGACCAAAAACACAAGAAAATATCTAGTTTCTGCCCGACTTAGTAGTTTACGTACCTAGTTAACAAATATTTTATTGAATAATCAAAATCAAATCTGCAAACAAACAAAATGATTGAAATATGCATGGAAACTTATATTCAAAACCAACTTGCTGGCCGCCACGCCATATTGAATTTGATCTCATCCAATCAAAATTCGTATAACCATTTCTAGACTCAGTTGAAAGAGCCTCCAAAAGTTACTTTACCGCGGCCGATTTGGAACGTGTAAAGCCAACCGTTTTTCGCACGCTGGAGCCGAACTTGAACCCAATATGCCAATTTTGGCGCGGCTTTAGCCGTTTTTGAACGCAGCCCTGGAATGACGGTACTTTCCATAGTAGGTGAGTTCGGAATGGTGGAAAGTGTCGACACTTTTTATACTATTGACACTGTGGCGTTCGTTAATTGGTAGGAATAAGTTTGGTGTACACTTTATTTGCGTTTGGAAATAATTTGGTTTACGGATGGTGTGAAGATGGTGGGACACCGTTTACTCGGTACATTATGATGGTGTATTCGGTGTCACACCGCCGATTACACCTTCATCACCTGATATAACACTGCACTACACGAACACCGCACTAGCACTGCACTAAAATCTCATTCCGAACTCAGCTAGTAATTCCACAAGTTAAGGCTGCGTTCTTTTTCAACTGTCAGTACTGTATTTACTGGGAAGCGTTCCAAAATTAAAATGCAGTGTACTGATTTACTGTAAAAATGACGTATGGCGTCAACAATACGTCACTAATTTATTACTGTGCTTGCTGTATCCGGGAATAAGCTACTGCTATAACTTTTGTTTATTTCTACAAGAGTCACATTCAAAGCTCCAGACTAAAATATCCCTTAAGTTATAGCAGTTTTATCTTGTGATTTATTCCATATTGCTTGTTAAGCTACATTCAGTAGGTAACTTAATTTAAATTGATTGAGCTATACTGGATATTTCTGGATAATGGGATCAAACTTCTAGGAGAAATAGTACCCATTAAAGTAAATTAAAAATTAATTAATAATAAGAATCATCAGCTGCTTTCGGGTGCCACCCTTTGAGCTCTCCCAAGTTACTCCGAAGTACCTACTCCGACTACAGTTTGACGCGTTCGCAAAACACATGGAGTAACGGGAGTGTTCAGAGCTTCGCTTCGCACTCTGTTATCTAAACACTCTGGGGGGCTTTATTTGAAATTGATGAAACTTTGCGTACGCGCAAATATGACGCGAATTTCAATCACGAATGACGTCATTGGCGTGTACGCAAAGATGCATCTTTCAAATAAAGCACCCCTGCACCCGAAAGCGGCTATGGGTACGCATATGCTTAGTTTTTGAGAATAAAGGCTGTTAAAGTTTGAAAAAAAAAAGTTTTTCACTGAGGTTTATTAGCTCAAAAATCCCTTTTTCTACGAGCGTGCGGGAAATTGCTCTTCCCGCACGATTTGCTGTGCGGGAAGACTTTCTTCCCGCACCAGTGCGGGAAGAGATTTCTTCCCGCACTCAATGCGGGAAGAGTTTGAAATAATCATTGTGACATGGAATTGTTTGTATTGTTGATACACCTATACCTTTACCTTTAATACCTGCACCTTTTTTTTATAAATACCTTTCAATAGATTTTTAATTCTACCTTCTGCACAATCGAATTTTATTTAAATTAAACTTCTCGTTACATCAGCTTAAGTATGCTCGTAGAAAAAATATAACGTTCATCCTAACTCTTGCGGGAAGAAATTTCTCTTCCCGCACTCGTTAGGAAAATAGCTATTCCAGATTTTCTTTAAACTTGGAAGGTTTGTTTGTAATAACAAAACAAAAGGTATCTTTGGACTAAATTAGATTTTATGTAATTAGTAATTATTCCAGTGACCAGTGACCTTCATAGGCCAGGGCAACTACGTTAATAAAGCATTGTATTACTATAATAATTTACAGTAGTAATAATAACCAACTATTAAATTATTTATGGAGAAAGCTTGAAAAATAAAAACGAAAAATATAAAATAATCATGTTGTTAGGTTAGGTCAGCTTTGTCGCCGGTCAAATGTCAATAATTACTGGAATTCGTTCCAAAATCAACCAGTAATACAGCGGCTGGTTGAAAAAGAAACGACAAATACAGTAAAAACCGCACAGCGGAAATTCAGTACTGCCAGTTAAAAAAAGAACACAGCCTAACTTTGTGCTATCTGTCAAAATAGTTTTATAATACCCCCCTAAAGCCTAGTACTCATAAATTTGACGTTTGATTCACGCATAAAACGTCAATTTGTCGAAGCAATGTCGCAAAAGTGCGAATTTCGCAGTTATAGTTGTATTCCTTTCACACCTAGGAGGAGCTCCGGAACAGCCCCTATTCCTTTCGAAAAGTGTTTGTTGCACCACGCATCTGTTCCCTGCAAATCGGGGGCGACTGAACATCGCAGCGAGTAGCTCGAGTGTTTCAAACTCTTGAAAGGAATACAACTAATGAGTACTAGGCTTATAGCAGTTATCAGTTGAACTGGTGGCGCCACAAACCTGAGGCGTTTTCTCGCGTCCACTTTTTTGAAACTGGTTCAAAACTGTTTTGAAACAGTACATTCTCGCGATAAATCCATGACGTCACGTCAAAATTGGTTCAAACCGTTTCGAAATACAATCCAATACACGTTTTCAAACCATTTTCTCGCGCCGATAAATTATGACGTCATGGTGACATTACTTGAACCAGTTTTGAAACATTTGAGACGCGAGAAAACGCCTCTGAAATATCTTGCGCTCAGTTCAACTTTAGTGCGACACAAAAAACAAACCTATTTTCATTATACCGACTGGACTGGTTAACTAAAATGACAAACGGAACACGCTCGCATATTAAAAAAAAATAAAATATAATGATTTCTAATGGTAAAATAATAATTAGGTATTGTTCAGTTAGATAGTTAGATGGAAAAAAAATAATTCTCCGCATCAAGAAAAAATATTTCAGCAGAAATTCCAAAATAATCCAAATTTTAACTTTTTATACGCGAATGTTGGAAGGGCTCATCATAAAATAAATAATAGAAAAAACTTTGTTTTATCTCAGGGAACTAATTTCTATTCTTCGACCATCATATTTTGCATGAGAATGTAGTGATAATAGTTATTCGCCTTTTAGCGGGAATTTTTAAAATTTTGACGATTTGCGGTTGTCTTGACGATTTGCGGTTGTCTTGACAACCGAAACATATGATTCACCACACCTTGATTTCTTCATTTTAGAAATTTGCATTTGATTTATTTAATTTGATTCATTTCACAATTTCGGTATATTTGGATTACTTGTAGCGTTGTGCATAATTTCTAGTAAAAATAAACAACTTTCTAGAGCAGATCCCATTAAAACAAAATGTCAAAGAAAATAATTAACGGGAGTTTATGGTGTGCCGCGCATGCTCAGTAAATTATTTTGACAGTGATGAAAATTTGACCTAACTAAAAGTCAATTGCCGATTGCTGGGCACACTATTTTTGCTATTTGTGAAGAGTGCGTGAATATGGTGTATTATTAGCAATGTATTACTCATTTTAGATTATAATTGTAACGTGTTAAATAGTTTCAGTTCTGTTCGGTGTATATTATTATATTTTACTGTTAAATATAATAAATAAGAATGCAAGCTACGTTGCCCGGTCTCAATCAGTAATGGCGTTCAGCCGTTTTCGCAATCTAATCTGGGGATATGGATTTGAAATGATACTTGAAAACGAAATATCAGCTTGAGGCAAGTTCCATCAATAACTGCACATTTTTGTGGTAGATTTATTTCCATTTACTTAATACTTGTACCACAACTTAAGGAAGTTTTTAACTTGTATAAACCTGTCAAAAAACCTGTGCTAGTGCTTGTGCCCTCGAAGGAAAACTTATGGGATACGAATTTTCCCACTTCAGAACTTTTTAAATTAAACTGTGATAGTACAAAATGTGATAAATAACTACCTATCGAAAAATTTAATTTTTTTTCAAGTGACTCATTTTCACAGGACTTCTCTCTTTGTTTTTTCCTATGTTTCTACATTGCAGTACAACCTTAAGTAGGATTTGAAGGGTGAGTAATCACTAATCTGTATCAGTAATAAATTAGATTTGTAGTTTACTGTATTTGTAGATAGGTATTTAATACTTGGTTATTGTAATTCTAATGAGAATTCTAATTCTATTCCCTCGGCCATTAAGTCATAGATAAGTTGGTACCTAGGTAATCTTGAATCTTCAAGATTAGGTTCCACATTTAATATAGTGTTGCTGCTGTTTTTGAATCTGTATCACAAAATACAGATGTTATATGGTTAGCCATGTTATTAATATCCTAATAATTATCCCAAGGCACACTATCTATTTATACTCGTATTTATATTAAGTACCTATTTCATCACCATCTGTGGTTCTTGTGAGATATGAGGAGCCAACCAATCTATGCCTATTTTTCATTGAAAGTGAGGTCCAAGAAAAATTGACTTTGAAAAAGAAACCTAACCTTTAAGATGGGTACCTACCTAATTGTTGCTATACCTAGGTACAAATAGATGTTTGAGAAATCTGTTATTCAATGAAATGCGATGAAACAATCTAAGGATGAAACTGAATAGAAATGAGGTACTTATTTAATAATTACTGTACCTACCTACAATATAGGTACAAACAAGGGTACACACTAGTGTATCTAGTGAACGGGATTGGAAACAGGATTTTCCCAGGGTTTACAAAATCTAGGGATTTTTGTACCAGATTTTTCAATTATAATCGAAGAATAAAATCTAGGACTTTATCTATGAAAAAAATACCTGAGTATTTATTCAATAATTTACAAAGTGATCCAATGCCTCGTCCAATACAAATTAAACAAACACCCGAGCAAACATCTAAATGAAAATAAATACAAAAATGTATTTTCCTCTTAATATTGGAATAAATTACAGTAATTACAGATTGCTCTTAAATTATACAATACACATACATAATTGCTAGTAAGAAGGTACATGAACATTTTTATTACTGAGAGTCGCTCGTTTTAGGGCTCTTCAAAAATACCCACTTTGAATTTTTGCTCCAACTTTTCAATTCAAAAACCAACCCAACTTCACCGAAAGAGAGAAAAAATATGTTCCTGGCTCTCAGATTGTGTTTCACCTTATTCTTTGAAAGAGAATTGAGGAGGGCATTTTTGAACCCTTTCACAAACGGAAATTAAATTAGCTACAATTTGAGATAAAAACAATACCTACTCGAAATAGAAAACTTCGGGTATTGGTTTCTGTTATATTTGGGGTGGTTTTTGTATCTTATATCGCAGGGCTGCTTAGTTAATTTATGGTTCTGAAAGGGTTGAGTATTGAGTAAATCCCTCAGTTAATTCTTCTTCACTGATTCTAAAATTAGAGGTGCAACACGAATATTTATATTCATTATAGTTTTTGTTATATTTTGGCTAGTTTTCCTATCTTAGATGGCTACTACAGTTGATGTCTGCTTGTGGGATAGTAGAGTAGTAGAGTAACTCATTCTTCTTTTGCTCCCCCCTTCAAAAATGGATCTGGTGGTCAAACAAAGAAAAAAATGTTTTTTTTTAATGGCTTTATTCCTATTCATCTTGACAGTCCCCAAGTTAATTTCTGCTGGGAGGCAGACATATTGGAAAAAAGAGGTTTTTTATTGTTGTTGTTGCAGAAAAAAACATATTTTCATTATGATTTATATCATATTGGAGTACCTAGTTTTTCTATCTAAATTCTGTGATTTCGGGATTTTCGATTGTTTCAAACTCCGAAATGAAACTCCTTGTGAAACTCATAAATGTAGCATGTATTCTTGTTGTTTTTTTTTATATGCTGAACTTTTATTTCAATGGATGATTTGGAGGCTTAGGGGTTGTTTTTTGGAGACTGTGATTTTGTGCTCTACTCCAGAAGCTCAATAACAGCTGAGAGAACAATGGTACCAATATTTTGGAGTTGATTTTAAGCCTTGAGGGCTGTTTTGAAAAACTGTTTTTTTTTTTTGCAGAATAGCTCAACATTATGGTGTAGAAGAAATGTTTTTTTTTTTAATGGCTTTATTCCTATTCATCTTGACAGTCCCCAAGTTAATTTCCGCTGGGAGGAAGACATTTTGGAAAAAAGAGGTTTTTTATTGTTGTTGTTGCAGAAAAAAACATATTTTCATTAGGATTTATATCATATTGGAGTACCTAGTTTTTCTATCTAAATTCTGTGATTTCGGGATTTTCGATTGTTTCAAACTCCGAAATGAAACTCCTTGTGAAACTCATAAATGTAGCATGTATTCTTGTTGTTTTTTTTTTTTATGTGCTGAACTTTTATTTCAATGGATGATTTGGAGGCTTAGGGGTTGTTTTTTGGCTCGTTTTTTGGAGACTGTGATTTTGTGTTCCACTCCAGAAGCTCAATAACAGCTGAGAGAACAATGGTGCCAATATTTTGGAGTTGATTTTAAGACTTGAGGGCTGTTTTGAACAACTGGTTTCTTTTTGCGGAATAGCTCAACCGAGGGGGCGACCACCTCCTGCAATACGTGTACATTTGGCCTGAAATCACTTGCAAACATCTCCGAAATCATTCTGAAATCCCGCAATATCCGAAATCCTTCTTGCAGTCCCGAAATCGTTTTCCGCAATCGCTGAAATCCTATGCAATCACCTTTGAAATCTCTGAAATCGCTCAAAATCAACTCTAGTGGGGCTAAAAAATCAGCTGTTGATTCGGGATTTTGCGCGTTTTTGCGGTACATTGATAATTGACATCAAGTTTTTGTTGCTCTCATTTTCGGAATCTGCAGTGTTTTTTTTTTTGAGAATCGATCATTATCCAATGAAAATTATTATGCAGCTCTTTATGACACCTGGTATATTGGGCGTATTTCAGAATCATTGGAAAATGACACTTGAATCAAGTTTTCAAAGTGGCAATTGGACATGTACAGGGTCTCAAGTTATAAAGTACCACCACCTGTAACTTTTCTATGTACACTTGGCCAAACATAAAACTGGTACGCATTTTCCTATTGTGTTGTATTGTATTGTGTAAATCGACCTTTTTTATCACCTCAACAATGACAGAAATAGTCAAGTTAGTGTCATATTTAAACCAATCATAACATAAAAACATGTTGCATTTACTTTTGCTCAACTTTGACATTGACAAAAACTGTCTAGCCTATGTTTTTCAGAAGAGACTTTTTGTTGTTAAGCCTGACTCACACTAGGCAAATTTAAAATATATATTTTGCCTGTACCAGTTTTATGTTTGGCCAAGTGTACAATCAAAAATAAAAAAGTCACAGATGGTGATACTTCATAACTTGACACCCTGTACAGGGTGGCCCATTTCCAATGTTTTAATGGGCTTTATCGAAAACCAGCAGAGATTTTTTTTGAGAAAATAACAATGGGAAAGACAACTCACGGCTAAATTTTTTTCCAAGTACAATCCAGTGGCATGACTAGTTTTTTTTTTTTTTTGAGATGCCACCGATTTTGGAATAGTAACCCTAATGTTAAGTTGTATTTTTTAAATGAGACACCCCGTATATTATTTCTTCATTGCATAGCTCTTTTCGAGCTGATTTCAATGATATAAGGTTTTATAGCTTTACATTCGGAAGTTTTTGAGAAAAAATAAATAAATTCCGTTTATAAGAAACAATGAATCAGAAAGAGATAGTTGAAATATGAATCGGCTACTTTCTATTCTTAATTTAACATTTCAACAAGCTTGTTTTTTTTTTCAATTTGAACCATGAGTTGGGGGTGATAATAAATGATAAATAAGCCACACATAATTTATTTCATGATTTATCTCTTTCTAGCTCATTTTTTCTTATGGAGAAACGGATTTTTTTTTTTCTTAAAAGCTATTGAACGTAAAGCTATAAAACCTCTATATCATTAAAATCAGCGCTATGCAATGGAAAAATAATATACGGGGTGTCCCATTTAAAAAAAAAACACACACAACTTTGGTTAATATTCCAAAATCAGAGGCATCTGAAAAAAAAATTGGTCATGCCACTGGATTCTACTTGTAGAAAGTATTTTTGAATTTTGGATATCTTGATTAATAAAAAAATTAGAAACTTTTAAAATTGGACAAAATTTGGAAAATGCCCTGTATTTCCTAAACACATATCAAGTTAGCTGTGATTTGTCCTCGCCATTGTTATTTTCTTAGAAAACAGCTCCAGAAAGTACCTATATCAAGTTAGCAATACCACATGCACGCCGGGATATGGCGTTAAGTGATTAATTTGTCGCTTTTTTGTCGTAAATTTGTCGTGCAAAAAAAAAATTTGTCGCGTTTTTTTTTTTCTTAAATACCCTGGTAGTGCTAACTTGATATCAAGTTAGCGCTACCAACGTCACCCGATGTTCCTACAGAAGTTTTATTAGGTGAATAATTTGTCGCTTTTTTGTCGTAAATTTGTCGTGCAAAAAATAAATTTGTCGCGTTTTTCTTTTTTCTTAAATACCCTGGTAGTGCTAACTTGATATCAAGTAAGCACTACCAACGTCACCCGATGTTCCTACAGAAGTTTTATTAGGTGAATAATTTGTCGTTTTTTTGTCGCAAATCTGTCGCGCAAAAAAAAATTTGTCGCGTTTTTCTTTTTTCTTAAATACCTTGGTATTGCTAACTTGATATCAAGTAAGCACTACCAACGTCACCCGATGTTCCTACAGAAGTTTTATTAGGTGAATAATTTGTCGTTTTTTTTGTCGCAAATTTGTCGCGCAAAAAAAAAAAATTGTCGCGTTTTTCTTTTTTCTTAAATACCCTGGTATTGCTAACTTGATATCAAGTAAGCACTACCAACGTCACCCGATGTTCCTAAAGAAGTTTTATTAGGTGAATAATTTGTCGTTTTTTTTGTCGCAAATTTGTCGCGCAAAAAAAAATTTGTCGCGTTTTTCTTTTTTCTTAAATACCTTGGTATTGCTAACTTGATATCAAGTAAGCACTACCAACGTCACCCGATGTTCCTGCAGAAGTTTTATTAGGTGAATAATTTGTCGTTTTTTTGTCGTAAATTTGT